AGTAAATACTTTAAAAAAGAAGTGACAACAGCGCTTCGATGAGTAAAAAGAATTGTATGGTCTCTAAACAGTGTCGTATCTACAGCAGTATTAATAGTTCAGTAGAATATAAAACGTATTTACAGTTAATTTTTTTTTATATTTCTGAAGCTACAATAATATAATTTTTTGTCAATTTGGTGACTTTATTTTAAATAAATTCGATTCCTTTTAAACATAATTATTGTAATTGTTATAATGATGAGAATTATCCGTAAAAATTATCAATTTGTTTCCTAATTTAGTTTAATTTTGATTAGTACTCACCGATATAAATTTCTGGAGAAATCACATTATTTAAATTGTCACTTATCAAAGTAGACAGGTGTTCTTAGGAATGTCAGCTTTGCCAACTTCAAAAACGAAGTACCCGATTGGTTGTCAAATTGAATTATCCTTTACGTAATAAAACATCAGAAAATTGTTTAATTTAACATTAACAGTAAGGGTTGTGTGCACTACTTCAAAATTAAAGCAGTTTTTAAAATTGTGTTTTTGACGTTTTTCACCAGTGTATAGAAATACTAACCGTACATTTATTTATTTTTAACATTAGATCTAACATTTCTGACATAAAATTTAATTTTTTTTAATAGCATTTGACTGGAATCAAATAGGAAACGTAAAACTATCCAATATAGACACATGTTCTTGTTCTGCCAAATAAATCTATTTATTTGACCTGAATTCAAATCATTCTTAAAACAGTGTTGCATTAAAGTGGGGATTTTTCTGAAACTGTACAAAATAATTTATAGGTACATACATACTAAGTTATAAATCAAATTTAAAATTTGATAGCGGTAAAAAATTAATAGAATATTTTAATATTTAAATATACTTACTATTAACTAAAATAAAACTACTCAAAATCGATACTACAATATAAAAGATATAAAAATACAACAGAATAACTAGTTTCGGCCTATGTGGCCATCATCAGAGATAATATGAATGTAACAAAGAAAAAAAATACCATATTCATCCATCCAGTGGTATGAAGTGACTTATAAACGTAGGTATCAGTACGGTATCGAAAAAAATTAAATTCAAATAAAAAACTAATAAATGGAAAAAACAGTTGTTAATTTTATATTTTATATATATTTAAATTTTTTCGATACCGTCGTTTTTCATACTTTGTTTTATATACTGATGTGTACCGTCTTATATACAGTATGGGCTATCGAACCCTTTCCAATACGCTTTGCACAAGTGCATGTGAAAACTACAGACAGTTAACATTAGGACAAACAGGAAACAAATAATATCAGCGAAGCCAGTTTATACCGCCCAGCCAACGTTACAACGCGGTTGGGGTTTACAAACTGGCAACGCTGATATTATTTGTTTCCTGTTCGCTCTAATGCTATCTTCTTGTAGTTTTCACATGTACTTGGAAAACGTTCAGTGGTCGACACTATAAAATGGTGTTTTATTTATGTCACTTCATATCACTGGATGGATAAATTTTGTATTTTTTAACGTTGTAACATTTCATATTAGGCCTGATGATAACCACATAGGCCGAAACTAGTTGCTCCGTTGCATTTTTGTATTTACTATATTGTGGTATCGATTTTGAGTAGTTTTATTTCTATTGAATGTTTACCTACATTTGAGAAAAATGGATAATCTTTCATTCTATATACTATTAACTGTTTTAGTAAAACAACTTTTCTGTGGTTTAATTACAATAAAAATATTTATATTTTCTAAATTTATATATTTTTATATATAGGTAATTCGTTCATTTTAAGCAGACTACAAAATAATTAACTTATTACATTTATAGAGCACTAAGAATAGACTACCTTTTTTAATTGTCAGGCCTAATTAATACGTACCTACGTAATAAATTTGGTAGCCTGACCTTAAATGACATCATTTGATACCAGAAACCTCAGACCAAAGGAAACATAAGAACTTTCAACATACATTTATTTACATATCTTTCAACGAATTAATACGGGATACTATAGTTGCCATCTATTTTCTGATCCATTTTAAAGATTATTTTAAATCATAAAATATTGCGGTGACCATCAGTTATTAACCACAAGAGTTATCATTGTTATAATATTTAATTGAAACAACAAAAGTATGATGTCATTTTAAAGAAAGTTTTTTGCTTTTTAAATATATATTTCATAGGAACGACAAAACAAATTACTAATAAAAACTTACTTAATTATTTTTAATTATATAATTAACTTTAAGTGGTGTCAACTATAGATCATCCTGTATCTCATTTATCTGTATTATTATAAATGTATATGTTCTTTATTCTTCATTGCCTTAAAGCGTCGAAGTTAGAAATTAACTATCAGATTAAAAGAAAAGTACCAGTGAACAATATCCTAATTTCTAAGTTATAGCACAGTGTCCAAACCTTGTTATGTCTACGTAGATCTAAGTTTTTCTTTGAATTGTGTGTATTTGTAGACCTTCTCATTAGAAACATTTTAAAAGCTAGTCAATGTATTTATTTCGTGTATTTCAGTTTAGTCAATATTCTAGTCAGAATATATGTTATTTTTTCTAATATTTTGTCTAATTTATATATTTTTATTGAATAAATTATTATATTTTGATTGGTAAATTATTGTTGTCTACTCCTTATTGCCACTATGAGATGAGCACACTGTACATTTTCTGTGCTTACTTACGTTCTTCGCTGTATTCAAGTATGTAGAAAGATAGGAAAAACATTTTTTGAGAATGCATTTTGTTGACTGTATATATTATTATACAGGGTGGTCCAGTTTATATCGTCAGGATTTCACCACTGATAGTTTATCGAAAAATAAAGGTACTTTGTCTAATAAATTATGATTCCATTGTACTTTCTTTTTGATGTACAGAGACGTGCAGAATTATTAGTTTAAATTTTTTTGTCGAAAACAAAATAGGGTACAAAAAAAGTTGTATTTTTAGTTAGTTTATTTAAAAAAATTATGAAAAATTTAAAACATCTACTGGACGATAAGTTTTTGTACCGAAAACTAATCGGTGAGCATGCCTATGGAATTACTGGATCAACTGTAACATGTCCGAAAGACACCTCATAAAGTTGTCAACAAATTGTGAAAATTTTATTAAAATCGTTCAAACCCTTTTTTAGATATTAATAAAAAGCTATAACACTATGTGCATCAAAAAGGAAACAAAATTAGACCATGTTTTATGAGACACACTACCTGTATTTTTAAATAAATTATCGGCTGCTATAATCCTGACGATATAAACTAGACCATCTTGTATATTTTTGGCCATTCGCTTTAAAATCAAATAATATTAAACAAAAATATTTAGAAAGAAGTATTATCCCTTCTTTGAATATAAACGAATCATTGTGTCGCGTTGCCAATGATTGAGAATAAGGCGTTTTCCAACCTTTACCCCTTGTATTAATAGGGTGTTTCTAAATGACATGTTAATTATGACTAACATTTAATATACAGTGTAGGCCACTGAACATCTTCCAATACGCGATGCACAAGTGTAGAGTTGTCACTGGAGCGAGCAGAAGGCGAATAATATCGGCGTTGGCAGTTTGTACGACCCGTATAAACAGGCGTCGCTAGTATTATTCGTTTCCTGTTTGCTCTAATCTGGCTATGTAGTTTTTACGCGCACCTGTGCCAATGCGTATTGGAAGATGTTCGATAGCCGATACTGTATGTGCTCTAAATTGTTTTTTTAAGATACAGGTTGTTAAAAATATCAATTAGGTTGCCCTTTAAGACTTAAATGGACCTAATAATTTCAATCTAATATTAGTAGGTACTGCAAACAAACCTGCTAAGCTGAATCAAACTCGTCAAACGAGTGTTTGGAATATTAAACAAAAACCGATTATTTTTCTAAACCCATTATCTTAAAAAAATGCAATGTAAATATAAAATTTTATTCCAAGGAATTTCCGCCTTCAATATTGGAACATGACATTTAGCAACACCCTGTATATCATATTAATACTAAAAAAATTAAATGCGAATTATTACGTATTTTTGAAATATGTATTACTATTGATCTTTCAAACAGCGTTTCTTGAATTTTAAAATGTACCAATTAGTAAAATGTAAATTTATTTCTCAGCACGCAATTCATTATATTTTCCACTGAATATCGATCTCGAATATATAAAAAAAGATCATGTTTTTGACCGATACCGCATAATCTGGTCCAACTTCATGGCATTATTAGGTATAATGAAATGAAAAAATAATTCATAGATCTACTAGGTAACAGACCTTCCGAAAGTCTAAATTAACGACAATCCAAATGGGTTAGGGTAGATTTTAGTGATTTAAATCAGAATAATGAGCAACACCATAAATTAAAAGTGATAACGCAGACACTACCCAGTCCTGAGTGGTAGAATTTATGCAAAACGATCATTGATCTCTGCCCTAGTTATTTTTTTAATCAAAGATCCAGAAAGCAGATATGTTTACTGCTACTGCGGCTCTAAATATATTTATAAATAAACTATATCGTGGAAATCTCAATAAATTTAAATATTTTCTACGATTACAGGTCACGTTTCTTCTAAATATATAAAAAGAGCCGGTCTTTTATTAGGACAAAATTATATTTCTAGAAATCATAAACCAAAGCTCATCCCTTTTGGCTTGAGCATCAATGAAATGTGTCAACTATGCATTGACAGTGACTAAGATGCTATCCACATTTTCTGTCCAATCAAACACCTTACACATATGGATTTGGGTACAGCTTTTCTGACAGGCATAAACGGTGCTGTTAAATCACAACACAGACATAAAAAAGAAATGACAACCCTATCGCCGTAGTGGGAAAGGGATAGTGTTAAAAATAAAACAAAAAGTTTTAAGCAAAATTGTTTTCTTTATGTTCAATATGTATATATATTATATATTTAAAGCTAATAACAAAATGCTTATATTGGTAAAATAATACAAATGCTATAAATACAAATAATATTGATATTAGGAAGCATGTGGTATTTTATTTCGCAATACTAAGGCGCTCTCTGCAGATATAATGGGCAAAGCATTTTCATAATGAAATTCAATCAGATGACTAACACTGTTGAACACTCTATCTTTAGTTCTTACCTGAAAATAAGATTTAAAATTAGTTACAATATATCCAAAATCATAGATAAATAAATATGCCTAATTTGAAGGCAATCCATTCTTGTTTTGTAATACTTACAATTCCTTCAGGATCAATTAATAACAAATGCTTTTTGTTATTGTCTTGCATGCCTGACAGAACAAATTGCCTTTCTATGGTATTTGTTGATTCTCTTACAAGGAAATCTCCATCTTTCTGAAGCAAGTTTTCAGCTTCTGCTCGACTAATTTGTCCATGGAACCATATTTCACTTTCCAGCTTGCTTATTGGATCATCACTCTTGTCATACATGGTTCCTGCTGTATGAGTGAAAGGTTCTGAAAAAAATAGTCATTCAGTGTTAACCCTATATGCCTAGCAACACTAAACAATTTAAAACTACTAAATTCAAATACTTACGCATATCAAAAACATCTCTTTCCCTCACCAGAATGACACCATCATTAACATAATCATGATGTGGACCTTCCAGTAGAGCATCTGCATTCAAATCTATCAAATTTGGAGTTTGTACAGGTGGAAGGGTTGTGAAAGGGGGTACAAGAGATGGAAGAGGAGGAACAGGTGGAGGTTCACAAACATCTGGTGGTACTTTTCCTGGAAGATCATTGTAATAGTCTTTGTCAGCATCACCACCTGTAGATGCAGAAAAATGGCCAATGGTTGTTCCTAATCTAAAACAGAAAATTCCACATGTAATTTTTTATCTTTCAATTATTTAACAAAACAAAGAATCTTTAATAAATGTTGATTTTAACTTACCCCATTGGAGCCTTGTTTGCAAATTGCTGGTACCTCAGTTCAAAGGCTTGTCCTATTGTTGAAATTACATCTTTTGCCAACCCTCCTCCACATTCTAGTACATAACAAGCTCTTAGTTCATTTGTATCTTTAGCAATATATCCTACAAAATCAAGAGTGTCCTAAAAATTAAATAATTGTGGATTATTTTTATAACTGCTTGTTATATTCTTACAGTATCTCCTCCAGATGCAAATGAGATTCTTGGCATTTCATGACAAGCAATAATATGATTGGTATCGAGTGATGTAAGTGTTAAATTGAGGCTAGATACATTGAGATTTACACGAGATCCAGAAAACTTTAGGTTAGGCACTTCAGCAATTGCCTTCAGTACTTTCTTGTCTATCTTCCTTTTTTTGTCTATATTTTTTAATTTTGAGTATTCACACACTCTATTGATACATTCTCTAAAAATCAAATTTTAATTAGTCTGGAAAACCAATATTAAATAAAGTATATTTTATGATTAAAAATTTGTACTTACTTGGCAACACTAGACCTAGTCTTAAAATTTAATTTTTTCATGGAAACTTTAACTTCCAAGGTTCCAACATACTGAAAAACAATTTTTTAAGTAACCTCTGCAATGCTAAGTTATAAATATTCAACCAGATTGTAATAAATACATTTTTAATTAACATGAATCATGAATATTGATAAGAGTATAAAATATATGTTAAAAGATAAGTAGGTAATATAGAATAATTGGGTTTGACATTTCTTCTAATTAACGAAAAATTACGTGTTTACTGTTTAGCATTATTATCTCCAAATTATTTTTTAAATTTGCCCTAATTTAGGGAAAACGCATGATGTATTATTTAAAAGTTGCGCATTTGTCATCTTTTGTAAATAAATAATCTAGATTTGTTGAATTAAGGAAATATAAAAGTAATTAGTAATTTAAATAAAATTACTTACCGTTACAGTGTATGTAGCCCCTTGTTTTGCAATTAATTTATCAGAATGAATCCACCCACCTGAGGGCTTAATATTAAAAGCAGACATTCTTGATTTCCCTTCTAAAACTATTCTAACATTATAATTTCGATGTTTTACAAAGATATATGTACCATTATATCAAATAAAAAGTGTTCATATCCTTCGTAGAAGGAACTTAAAACTATAATAAAGTAACAATACAATACGTTTAGTAATTATTTATGCAAAATTACTATTTAATAACTAGGCGTAATCATTTTTGTTTTTAACAGGAATGAGTGAATTGCTGTCACAGTCACCTGTCACTTTCGACTGTCATAATATTATTGATTGGAGAATGAGAGAGAGAGAGGTATTCGTGAGAATATTTATCAACCTTATACATTCACATTTTCAATCTCTTTAAAGAGAGGCTACGTTGAAAAGGCTCAAAAGTATACGAGATGAATAATTTGGTTTTTTACTGTTCCACTGGAACTCGGGCAGTTTGAAGATTTACCTACGGTTTAAAACAAAAATCAAAAAATAAAGATGGTCGGTCCCGCAGTGCATACCAACCGAACGTGCGCTATTTGTCACTTTTGTTAGTGTCAATTTGTGTTGTGCTGTTTGTTTTTGTCTGTCATTCGTCGAAATTGTGATATCTTTAATTAAGGTACAAAATAATGATACTAAAATTTTTGCAAATTACGTCTACCTAAAAATAGTATAATAGCATTATGAATATAAATTTGTCACCATGGATTGGATAAATTCCCTATTATCGACAAAAAATTCAAAATCATTAATAAATCCTGAAGACGAATGTGATCCTCAAGCTTGTTATGATAGTTTCAAAGAACATTGGCACCAAGTGTACAAAATATTTAACAGAGTCCAGGTACGTAAATAAAATGTATTTGAATATCTAATTATACTCGCTATATTTTATACATTTTTTAGCAATTGCCTAGTCATGATGATGTCTTGGGAGTTGTTAACCACTTGGAACAAATGGCCACATTACTTTTATATGACATTAAGCGCAACGACAGATTCTTTGTGCCCCATTCTACATCCAAATGTCTTGAACATTTATTATCCGAAAATATTTTATCTAAATTATTCGAATGGAGCACAACATCAGGAAGGTTTGTTCATTAAAATCAATTGGAACTGAGTAGAAGTGCATGTAACAAATGTTATCTGGACTCTCCTATCTATACTTATATATTAATAGAGAACTTATATCTTTAGGTACATAAATGCAATACGCTGTGAACAACTAAAGGTTTACCAAATGTTACTAAGCCAGTCGAGGCATGGTTTATTGTTACATGACCAATTTTTACAACCACTGATCAAATTACTGTGTTCTTGTGAAGGAGAGGTGTTCTCAAAAGAGGTTGAAAAGTTACTTGTTGACTTAATAAATCAGCTGAGTGCTCTTCTCATGCAAAATGTTGAATTCATAGACTTATTTTTTCAAGATATAAAGAATGTTCAAAGGTAAGTTTAAGTAATTAGAGATGTTTTAATGTAAGTTATATTTCTGGTTTTAAGTTTTAACAAGTTTAAAACTGTTTTTACTTGCCTAATTTATTGATAATACAGTAATTTAATTATTGCAATTACCTATCTATAATAGCAGTAGTAATAATAATAATTGACTTTATTTACACTTTTCTATTTATTTGGATCTGATCTATAATTTGCAATTTATATATTTTTTTGAATTGAAAGTTTTGCTATCTTAAACCCAAGATAGCAGAACTCTATTGTTTAATATGTGATTTCAATCAAACTAATCCCATAATTTTGTGTTTTTAAATTATGAAAAATATTAGTTGGATTTAGGAAAATGATAATGATAAATGTTTTTAATTCAATATATACATAAAATAATTCATGTATATTGACTTCAGAACGCTTGTGTTCTAATAAGATCATTTTCTTAAATCCAACTAATATTTTTCTCAGTATGGTATATGTTGTGTCACCACCACTTGGATGACACATGAAATTCAAAGCCTTTAAGGTCAATAAAATGTAAAAATCAAATCTCAGGTGTTGTAGATTTTTAAGAGAGGGGAAGAGCATAAATTATTTTTTTAAACCAATTATTAGCTATTTTTTTTTAAATATAAATACACAAAAATCCTGTACAATACATTGGAAATCCTTACGTATTTTTTTGGTTTTTAGTTTCATCATATTTTCTCTTCTAATTCCATTTGTGCATCGTGAAGATTCAACTGGTATGAGAGCTCGTGATGCTCTACTACTCTGTATGTCACTGTCCAAGAAAAACAAGAGAGTTGCTATTTATATAGCTGAGCACTCAAATTTTTCTATATTACTTGCATCGGGCTTAAGCGGTCTGTATTCTGTTTTACCTAACATTTTAGATGACATTTCAGTACCTGATTGGCATAGGTTCACACCAGATGATGTAAACGAAATTAAAGGCTTGTTAACATTTGTGACTTCTTTAGAATTTAGTAATGCAGTAGCACAAGTAGCACATCCTATGATAAGAAAGCAACTTCAAGAATTTTTGTATAGGGGATTTTTAATACCTGTATTGGGACCAGCATTACTTCAAATTAATGTATATGAACAAGTAGCTGCCACTGCTTATTTAGAACTAATTCTTCGAACTGTAAGTGATACTGGACTTTTACATTCTCTGCTGCAATTTTTGCTCAATATTGACTTTGATGGTGAGAAAATATTAGGTATTGAATTGTTAATTTCTAGATAATGAGGATGTTAATAATTAACTTTTTTTCAGGTACCTTAATACAAAGATTAGGTTCAGACAATCGACAGTTATGTCTGGTATCTTTGGCTATGTTTGAGTCAATTGTTGATCTATACTGTGAAGATCTTATGTTGGAATTAGTTTTCAAATATTTGCAACCCTGTTTACATCTTATGATTTCACAGAGGAACATGTTACTTCCTTTAGATCCCTACTGTCAGAGCTTTGAAAAACTCTTGACTCTGTCACCAAAATGCTGTAATGTTGAGTATCCCAAGGAAGTTAATGATAATAGTAGCCAGTGGTATACTTTGAAACACAAGCAAAGTCTATATGGAAAATACTTTGCCTATTTATGTGATGCTAGGAATAGAATATCTCAATGTCAAATGTCTTGTATTGTTTGGAATAATCTGTATGGTGGAGAAGAAGATTCTAATTCTGGTAAGTTACTAAGGTCCCCTACATAACCAAGCTTAAGGGACAAAGGGAAAAATATTTGGGCCAAATATGGGCAGACTTGAGAGGTAAATATTTGGATAATTTAAGGGGTATAGGGTCCAAATATTTTTACATTGGTGGACTTAAGAGCAAAATATTTTTATATGAGCTGTCTTAAGGGGTAAAGGGAGTAAATAGTTTAAATTGACAGGCTTGAGGAGTAAAAGGACAAAATTTTTTCATATGCTGAGTTAGGGGGTACCAGGTCCAAATATTTTTGCATTGACAGGATTAAATATTACATGGGCAGGTGGTAGGGACAAAAGGACCAAATATTTTTACATGAGCGAGCTTATGAAGTAAATATTTCGATATATTTTTATATAGACAGGCTTAAGGGGCAAAAGTTCAAATATTTTTACGTGAGCAGGCTTAAAGAGCAAAGGGCCCAATTATTTTTACGAGCTAAGGGATAAAGGGGCCAAATACTTTTACATATATTGTTTTAAGTTCTAAGAATTTGCTCAGACGGCAACATGGAACGTTTTTTAAAAAGTCTAATGTCCTATTAAAGTGATTCTATCTTATCAATTTTGAGAAATATTTTGAATATAAAAAAGTACATGAAATATTAATAACTTTCCTCAAGTTATTTTTAGCCAAATATTTAAAAAAAATATATCTGCTGGTTTTGACTTTTTTTTTTATAAAATTGGACAAAAGAAAATATTTTTAACTTTGGCTAGAGAACGCACTTACAAAATAAAGCAGCGTTTTTTTATATAAAAATTAAAGTTGATAAAAATTATAAATATTAGAAGCTTACCAAAAGTGACCTTGAAAATTTGAAATTTTTCAAAACGCAATTCAACATTTTTTTAGATAATTCTAGTAGTACAAGTTTAGAACGAAGTAGTGGATATAATAGTCTTAATGTGACTGCTGATGAAGCAAAAACTACGGAAGAATACTGGGAAACACCAGTAAAATTTAAACAAAAGAAGGAAATTACAATACCTACAAAAATTAGTGACATCGAATATTCCCGTTCATCTGCTGGACCTTTTCTTTTTCTTCTTATGGAAAAGCTGAAGAACTTTCTGTCCAATTCGTTTTATGTGAATCTACACCTGACTGGTTTAATTTCTAAACTTGCATCATACCCTCAGCCACTGTTAAGAGCTTATTTATTAGACCACAGTTTAGTACTGCAACCAACCGTGCCATCCATTTTTGAGGTAAGTTTTTAAACAGCTAACATATTTTCGAAAAAATCAAAAATATTTGAAATACTGTTACTTTCAATTCGAAAGGTATTTGATACTAATTTTTCCATATATCCTATAGCTTAAGAGAACTATTGTAGATAAATAACTTATGAACATTTTAGATTATTGGTGTACTGAAGCAAAAGGTCGACGAATATATGTCCCAACAACAAAACTCTCAGCAGCTGATAAAGTACGCGAGAGACATCCTCGTTGATCGAGAAATTATGTTGGTGAACCTCAGAAGGTATCACGTCGAACAGCATGCATCCAAGAAAGTCGAAACTGAACCATTTCAACGAAATAGTCCGAAACGCAAAAGCCTGGGAATCTCTCCAATCAGCAGTTTGTTTGGAAGGCGGCCGAGTCAAATAGAAAGCAACGCTCCCGTGGTTTTATCTCCAGAAGAAGTTCAGTTTAATATAATATATCCGAAATTCAATGAAGGACAACACGTTGCACTTTGTGCAGTGCTGCTGGACGAATGGATAAAGGAACTTGCCGCTCTTGCCCAAGAACACACCGTTGCCCAGTTGATTAACTTTTTAAAATAATCTATAAAGGTTCAAAAAAATAGTAAAATTTTTTTGGGTGGCCTTACTTTTTTTATCTTTAAACTATCGTTTGCATCAGTTGTTCTTAAAAACTGTAGTGATCCTGTAATACATGGGACATAGAGTAAGATTATGTTATTTGGACCAAAATATGAGGATTGAATCAAATATGCCTTTATAAAATGTTTCTGTGGAAAAAAAAACAGGATATTCATAATAATCTCACGACATATTCATAAATCGTTATCAAAATTGGCGAAAAGGCATATTCCTGATGAAGAAAATTGGGCCATATTTTTTTATAAAACTTTTTAGTAACTTTGATTGGAAAACATGATATAAACAATTTATACATAAAATTGTTATAACTGTTTAAACTTTTCGAGAAAAACACATTTCAGAGTTTTTGAAAGGGATTTCATTTATTTCAGAAATCCTGATTGCAACTTATCGATCTAGGAAAAAATACATGATGAATATGTTGTGAAATCATTACCAAAAAATTAAAAAAAATATTTTCGCACCAAGGTGAAAGAATATTTAGTCCAAACAACCTGCACTTACTCTATGACCCAATAGTTATGACACTCACCTTGTATATGAGGGTATCCTGAATCTTAATTGTAAAGTTAATAACGTAATGTCACAAATAAATATGACTGTTTTGAATGCATAATAATCGGCGCCATTTTTATTTATGTACAGATTACCACGCCTCCGTGTCAAGGCAAACTTAAATGTCACTTAAGTTTTGAAGAAAACGGAATGCTGCTAAATTTTATAATTTTGAGATTATAACTTTTAAAAGTACATTTATTTGGATTTTAATCTTTCTTCTAACCCACATTTGCTTACCGAATACCCTGTGATTTAAAAATGTTCCCACAAAGTATAACTATGTAGTGATTCATAAGAAATGGTTCTAAGTAGCCTTGGAAAAAATTCACATATGTACAATTCTTGTTTTTTAAAAGAGAGCAGTTATCATAACATGACTCATATCTGTCTCTGTTGGCCATGGCCTACTTTAGACATATTTTTGTGGATCACATTTTGAGGATAAATTTAATGTAGTTTTCAGTGTTTAAACGTGAAAAAGTGGACCAACAGTAACTATTTATTTTATAACATCTGTCCTAAGGTAAAATGGCTCAAGAACCAAAAATTATTGTTTTATTTTTGTCTAAGGCTTAGACAGAAGTTGAGCCGCCGATCTTTAGCAGCAGAACATCTTCTGCAGAGACAAAATTTTATTTTTCTATAATTTCTTAAGAACAATTTCGTTAACTACCTACATTGAGCAGAAGATTGGTTGAAACGCTTGGTATTTGAATTTACTATGCAAAGATCTGCAGCTTATTTTCGGCGGCTGAACTTCTACCTAATGTAAGGCTAGCCTGATGGAAAAGAAGTAGTGCAAGTGACATTTGTATTATATGCAAAAAAATTTAGTAAAGTTAAATTACTATGAAACAAATATTAAATTAGAGGAAAATTAAAATTTCTCAAATATGACCAATTTAAAATAAAATAGAAGGAAAAGAAAAAAATCTCTCAAAGACCGTGTCACAGCAAAGTTGACTGTCGAGCGACCCTTTCCCTCCTGAAAACAACTACTCAGCTAATACCGCATCTGCTACTGATATAATGCAACGACTCTTACGGTATTAGCCAAGGGAGTAGTTGTTTTCAGGAGGGAAAGGGTCGCTCGACAGTCAATTTTGCTGTGTCACGGTCTTTGAGATTTTTTCTTTTTTCCTTCTATTTTATAAATATTAAATTATTAAAATTTGAGACTGGCGTCTAGATAAATAACAAAAAATACATTAAAAACAAAAATGTAATTCGTAACACAAAATTTTATCTCGAATCTGACTTTTTAATCTAACTAAAAGTTTTTCTGAAAATTGCCACTTCTATGGCAAAAGAAAAGGTCTTCTAAATATCTCTAGATTAAAATAATTGTTAAGCATTAAGCAGATGTCACCCATGCCTGTCTTAATTTTTCTTGCAAGTATTCATTTTTTTGTCATACTAGTTCATTATTGTGTTTTTATTGCTTAGTCTCCAACTACATAATGGTGTACTTTATGGTCTACACGGGCATAAAGTAAAAAAAAAATATTTTTAAGTTAAATACCCAAGTGAAATGGAAAAAGTCGTACGTAACTGGGTAGATAATAGTGTTATGCTAAAGCCATTAAACTAAAGATTACTTTTTAACAATAGTATCTACTTTAATAAAATAATAAAGTTGTTAATTTTCGGATTTTCTTTTTAAATATTTAATTATGGATGCAATAACGAACTAGTATGCACTGCGGGTATTAATAGATGTGTATGCCCTGGGGTTTGTAAGATCATCGGTCCCAGGACATAAAAATCTACTTAATACCCTTGGTACATAAATAGCTATGAAATCAAATGACAACTGCTAAGAATTTTGTCTTTGATTCTAGATTTCCTGAACCATTGTATATTTGTCCTATTTATAACGAAAAAGTTTAAAGAACTTTTGTAATATTTGCAATTTTTAAATTATGATTTATTAATTTAGGAGAATGTATAGCTTTTAAAATATATTTGTTAATTATATTAAATATGTATATTAGAGATTTATCAAACTTAAATAGTTTTATTTCTATAGTGCCTGTTCAAGCGAGAAAAAAAGCATTTAAGGAGAAAGAAAAAATACTTTAAAAATCTTATTTAATTAAAATTATGTCACATCCATAGCATTTTGTTGATGTGATTGTTAATTCTTACCTGCTTACATTATTGAACGCCTCTATAAAAGCAGATAAGGTTACCGAGCAAGAAATAAATATAATTTTTAGCAAAAAAAAGAAAACCGAATTTTAAATTAAAACAATAACTTTATTGTCAGGCACAAAGTTTTTAATTGGTAATTAAAATTATCTTTATGACTACATAAATTAATAATAAAATACAAAATCAAATACAACAAATATTTTACTTTTTAACTTGTACTTTAGCACATAATAAATAACTACTATTTTCTTTAATTTATATTTTTATAATTTAACATTAAGTGTAAAAATTATCACGCTGTTGATAAAGAGGCAAAGGTGTTAAAGGCGATAAATCCTCCTCTTCTGCACTTATCTGGTCCTTCTGATTGGATAATCTGGCAGTTGCTTTTTCTAAAACGGGACGCAAAATAATTAAAACGAACAAGCTCCCGGTTTTATTCTTTATAATTTTTTTCACAATCGCCATTTAAAACATTAAATATTTGTGGCGCAGTCAGTAGGACAAGACAATTTATGTTTTCTTTATAAAACAAAATAAATACATTGTATAATAATATTAAACTAAGAGCTACTGAGAGAATATCATAGAATAAACATTAAAAATTTTTTTTGAGAATTTGTATTGTACCTAATTAAATTTTAAGTGTATCAAATTATGGGGTGGAACTATTTTATGACTAATATTTTTCATTCAGTAAGTGACGTGCTTGATATTTTTCAGAGTTGAAAAAAATATAATCCAGATCACATATCTCATTGCAAGTATCGTCGCAAATTTTTATTTTGTGAAGATGTTGAGGGTAGCAGCATTACCAAACTTTAATCGAGCAATAGTTACTATGCCTCTACGATTTAGGTTGCTATTTTTGTGCCATATTTCATTAGGATTTGTATGGTGTAGCAGGTTGTAGAGCTTTTACAATATTGTGCTCATGTTTCATTCAATTTTTTCTTTATTTTATTTTTGGACTAATTTATACACTCATTGATAGCAATTTCGTTTTCCGTTGGTTGGCGTACGGAAATGCTTTCTTTTGCCAATTTATCATTCTATATGTGCCTTGATCCAAATAAAGTGAATGTCAAATTCTGTTTTCTTTAGTCAAGAGATTTTTAATTCTTTGATAACTGGATTTCAGTATGGTGAAACTATGTCTATACAGATAGCGAATCTGATACTATGACCCTGTTCCTTTTTAACATTAATAAATTCTGTTAAAACTTTAAAGCCTTCTAAGTTATTATATAATATGTTAACCCATGAATTCTTCGAAATAAAGATGAGAATCTTAACTATATATTTGCACATGAGAAAATAAAGAGATTCTCTTAGTCGGCTGACTGCCTACCGTGATTGGACAGATAGATACACCTCTACCACTAGTGGGCTGGTGCGCACTGTTCTACCACTGTCTAACAAATAGCTTCACTTATGCCACATCGTTCTTATTCTGGCGTCATTATATGAAACTTAATATAGTGTATAATAGAGCGCTATAAAACAATATCCAAACATTTGTATTTAAATTAGTACAATTTTTAATTTGAAAAATATCTCTAGGGTGTCCATTCTGATTGCATTGCAAACACTTGTTAATAATATATTTTTTAAGCCAATCCCAAATGTTTTTAGACAAAATGCAATTCTTTATTACTGTGTGAAATGTAATAGCATTTGCTACATATATATGTTAGAATCGATAGTTTTTTGTCAAGAAATCTTAAATTAACCCTTAATGGATGCAAATGAATGAGTTATTAAAAATGAATAAAACCTTAGTAAAAAAATAAAAACAAACCTTTAACAAGCAGCAAATGATAAGAAACTTAGGTACATTATTTTTCTTCTGAACTACTGATACCTATGAAAAAAATAAAAAAAAAAATGAAAAATAAAAAACAAAACTAGCAATAATGTATGAATTAAAATAAACAACATGATTCAACTTATTAAAACAAAGAACATATTTGTATGCTTTATGGTAGAGCAAAAAATAAAATTAAGCTAGGTTAAAACAAAAAAATTAAGTGAAGTCATGCTATGGTCAGTGTTAATTTTTTTAGAAATAAAGTACTTACCTGCTACGATTTTGCTCATTTCCATTACTTGTTTAGCTAGAATTTGATTGAGCTGAAGTAAATGTTCTCTTTGTTTTTTCTCATCATAAATCTTTGTTGTTGTTTTATTTACTATTTTCGTAGTAGGAGTTTTAGCAGTTTCTTGATTATCTGTAATTCAAAATATGAATTTATCTCTTTCGATGGCTTTTTACTGTATTTATGTTATTTTGGATTTCCTAAACTACTGAAGAGTAATAGCGGTTTTAGGACTGGTTAGGATATTGTGACAGCCCACCATAGGGACTGTTCTAAAGATATCCGGAAAGGACTGAAGTGAGGTTTTTTATATACTGGAATTTTTAAATAGATAGAAAATTCAGATAGAAAAGATGCTCTGATCTTCAAGAATATAAGATTTATGAGATTAGGTAATATTTTTAGTGACATGAAGATTGGAAGTAAAAACCAGTTTCTTACCTCCACTTAAATTCGTAGAACTTGTGCTTATGAAAGTGGTATCGGACAGCATCTTTTTAATCGACTCGACTTTCCTCAATCTGTACTCTTGCTCTTCTACCGACAATTGAGGCAGTTGTTCTGGAATGTACCTTTCGGGAATATTAATTTTGCTAGGCGTTCCCAAAAGATCATCGATAGTTCTTTCATTATATTTAAGTTCAGTATTGATCAGTGTTGATCTGACAACATCAGGAGCATCGATTCTTTGTCTAAGCGCGCGTTCCATGTCTAAATCGTCTCTAGCTCTTCTGCTGTTGATGCCGTGTTTGTCAAATGCATCCATGTCGCTGGGTAGTTGCTGGATGCTTTGAAGAATCGACTGATCATGTGGGGCAGTATAATGTCTTCGCTTTTCTTTTGGAACAGCTCTTCTATTCGTCTGTTTCGGCGTTTGTTGTATCGACATTTCGGTGATTATTTGTCGGGCTGCTTCACTTTTAAACACAGGTGATATGTCATGAGATTTCTCCGTGCTAGTGCTGAAGTTAGCTTCTTGTTTTTCTTCAAAATCGCATAAATTGGGACTTGATATTGAGTTGTTTGCTACTGCTGCTAGTCCATTTATATCTTCTGTAGAAGATGCAAGGGATGGTGTACTTTGGATTATATGGCTTGGTGGGGATTTAAAAATATTACAATTATCAGATGAACTATCTTCTTCTTGTAATGAGTCCCATTTTCCAGGAGGTATCGATTTTTCTCTGTCTCTTTGACGTTTCTCAGACTCTCTTTTCACTATTCTAACGGTTTTAATCTCCTGCTTTTCTTGAGGAGTCGAAATCACTAAATTGTTATCACTTACAGAATGATTAGAATTGCTGTCCTGATAAAAATCATAATCATCGTGTCTGTAATTGGTATTTATGTACAAAGGACTGGATTTTATGCGGGGTGAATTACAGTCGTATTCTCCGTGATCGGTAATCGACATTGTATCTAAATCTGTTTCTCTCCATAATGATTGTATTCTCTTTTTGTGTATGCCGTTATTTTGAATATCATTCGTTGGAAATTTTGGTTGGGTTAAGTTGGACGATCTATCTGTGAGTTGCCGCACTTGCAAACTTAATTTGTGTCTTTGTTGTTGGAGTTCGCCGATTTTTTTTTTAACTTGATGCAAATTGGATTCCAACTCTGGACTATTGCCTGCTGTACAAGTTAGACTGTCACCTAAGGAGAAATAATTAATACTGTTTAATATAGTTGTATAATTTATTAAAACACTTTACCTGGATTAGAATACTGTGGTGAACTTTGCATGGGAGTACTTTGTTGTAATTTTTGCTTCAAAACCATCAGTTCTTGCTCCAACTTGGCGTTTCCAGATACCGTTTCTTCTAACTTTTTCGAATTTTGTGCCAACATGAAATGCACTCTAATCAGTTCATTTTCGAGCATGATCTGTTGTTTTCGCGCAAGTTCAATTTCACCTGGATCTTTAAATCCTTTGCTAAGTCGATGCCTTAAACCTCCCAACGCTCGTTCAATATCTTCTTTGTCTTGTTGCAGATTCTGAAGGGTTCCAGATTCTTCATGAATTAATCTAACAAAAAAAAATAGTTTAAAAGTAGCAATATTAATTATTTTGAACATTTTGTATACAGGGTAACACATTAGTGCGAAAAAATCCAATTTTTGTCATATTTTCAAGTTATAAATAAAAAAATTGTCAAACACTATCACTTTTAGAGTCTATAATATAATAACAAATAGTGAAATAATATACACGGTGTTCAATTTGAAAAAAAAAAAACAAATTTTTATGTTTAAAGTTGATGCCCCTGTATAAAATCGCATGTACATGAAAATCAACTTCTCAGTCATTTCAGCTAATGATTACCCTTATATTTACTAAATATTTTAACTATCAATAGGAAAATGTTTTAAATATTTTTCATAAACAATTTTTTGCAATAAAAAACACACTGGATGTACCATTTCACGCTAAAATCAATGGTAAAAAAATATACAGGACAGGTCATTTAAAAACATCGATAATTAAGCTGTGTTGATGTAACGGAACACACTGTATATTTCACAGTATTTTAAAAATGGGTATGCAACAAAGTAAACCTTATAACTTTTAAACATTTTCTCATATTTCTCAAGATAAAGGAGATATTGGACGTCCTCGCTCTAATGGAACACCCTGTATATAGTTTGTACATTTACCTATCGAGCATGTATAATTGTTGAACTTTTTCTTGCAGCTGAAAGTGATTTGTATTTAGTCTGTTCCATTCTCTTTTTTCTTCAGCAAGAAGTCTACGTTCTTGAATTTGCTGGTTAAATTCGATTCTGTCTTTGATATGATGGCTGACATTACTTCTTTCTTGAGGGACTCGATAAAGGGACCCTAACTTAACCATGTTGTCTACCAAATTTACTAGTGGTTTCCCTTTTTCATACTGTAACAACAGAAGTTTCAAGATTAATTCCTAGGAATAATTTTAAAAATAGCAAGGAAGCTTTAAAGACATTAACGATATTCTGAAGCAGGTTACAAATAAGAAAAAGACGGATTTCAAAGATTCAAAAGGAAACGAAACAGCAGAACTTGTGAATGGAAAACTATGTGATCAAAATCTGAGGAAAATAACTAAAAGTTCAAATAAAAGATAATATAAGAGTAGGAGTATAAGAAGCATAGAACTTATCATCACTAGATTAGTCAAAATTAAATGTAAGTCGTACAAAGGATTAATATAGCCTTAAAATTGGAAGGACCTGAACGCTACCAGTATAATAAGCAATCTAAAAGATAAAGTATAAACTGGAGAAGAATGACCAAGCCATAGACTTAAAAGACCTGCGATATATTAAAAATTTTCTATTAGAAAGTTTATTTTCTAAAAATAAAACTAAAACTAGTATCAGCATTGTCGTGTCTAATATAAATTAAAGTACAATTTGACTTAATAGCGGTTTGGCTCACAAGCATTATTTATTTGTAAATCACGGAAACAAGTTTTGTTGTCATACCTGTTTTTCAAGTTCCAGTAAATGCTGTTTAATTTGTTCAAGTTTTTGTAAATTTTCCATTCGTCTCGTTTGATCCATCGCATATAATTGGGCCTGAAATTTTAATTAGATTATGAAACCAGTCCGTAATTGGCATTTTTCCTTTCTCTTTTTATATATAAAATAGCTGGAATGAATTGATTATTTCTGATATATACCATCATCCGCTAGAAGAATATTTTTCAATTTCAGCTTACCACTAGCTGATTGTTTATATGTGGTAAAAATCTTTACATTATTAATAATAATAATTTCCCTGTAGTTCACATAAGTGACTCACAGAAAGTAGATTTTGAGAGGACAAGTGATGTTTATTATAAATCTAGATGTCATATCAAGCACCGCCCATCAAATTCTACACCGAACCATGCAAATTAATGATTCACATGTTTTGATGTAAGATCCAAACTACTCTGCTATCGAAAATATCTCGAGATATGTATTATCCTGACTACCACCATGTTAGTAATTTAGTTTTTTTATGTTAAATATTACTGTTTTATATCTTAATTCATATTAGGGTTAAAAGGGTATTGCTTCGTGTTGAATGATTAGTATGTTAGAAAAACGTTTAGTAATAGCAGTACAAAAAGCAAGAGAAATGTATTATCTTAAAAAAAATCAAACCTGAATCATATCAAATTCATTATAACAGTTTTCGATGGCTTGTAACGTTTGTGAACTCTGTCTGCGCAACTGTATTAACAGCAACACTAGTTCTTCATGAGTTCTACCAAGCAATTCACCAGCAGAAACGCTTACTTTTTCATTAACGGGCCAATTTTCCTAGTAAAAGTAAATGAATACCTAATGTTGAGAATATTTTTAAAATAATCGATCATTTTTTCCAGTAAGGATTCGAATACTGTAAATTACAAACGGATTTTAAAATTTAATAAGAAATAAACAACAGATAATATTAATTCAATATGGCTAGACTGTTGTGGACTTGAATGTTTCATTTGAAGAGTCTGGTTAAATTTAAATATCCAACAATATAATTCTAAATCCGCCAGTAATTTATCGTAAATTAAAAAAAAATAATACCTTTCTCGCAGGCGTTAAGTTAGGATGACTAGACGATTGATTTGAGTAATAGATTCTTGGATTAGGTGAACTGAAATTAAATAAATTGAAATTATAAACTGACCGGGTGGACCAATAAGAATGGGTTTTAGCCATATTTCAAGAACCGTTAATAGAACAGCTCCAAGGAAAAAATTCCAGTGACTTAAGTGAATACGAAAAAATCTGGAAATTATTTAGAGAATCGTAGGACCACCGCTGGATGGCTTAACTGAATATCAAACCTTAAAATGCTCATTTTATACCAAATTTACCAATAAAACTACTAAAAATCGATACCGCAATAGTTAAAAAATAACTGAGCCACTAGTTTCGGACTATATGGCCATCATCAGATACGTAATTCAAAATTAAGTGTTGTATTTTACGCAAAAACCTAAATCTTCCAAGCAATAGTATTCTTTTCAGTATGGTGATTACACCTTCAATATAAATCTATATTCTCCTAAATAATTAACTTTTTGAGTTGCTTTAATTTTTATATTATGGTTATTTATTTATAATTTGACAAATAATTTATGTAGCTGACTATAGGTATAAACATGGTTTTCTCGAAATTTATTGCCAGTAATTTATGATTAAACCAATCTATAATTTTATTCATGTTCATTTGAATTTTTTTCTTTAACTTTGGTACATGCATTTAATGGGTAGAAAATTACTGTATCTTTAGCAAAGTTTAATATTTCTCCATACACTTTCATTGTTAACAAACTGTTTATATAAACCGTAAAAATTATAGGTCCGCGAACAGTACCTTGCGGAACCTCATATTTTACTATTCTTTCTGAACTTGTAATTTTTACACAATGCTACCGCTCAAATAAATATGATTCTCTAAATAATTTCCAATTTTTATCTTGTCGCCATTTTAGTAATTGAAATTTTTTCAAGGCAATTCGAGATATGGCCGAAAGACATTTTTATATGAGGCCACCCGATATAACACCGAAAATAATCTGTCACTTACCTAAAGTCTTTTTCACAGTTTCTTGGCAGGTTCGTCACCGAATGGGACTCTACTGGTAAGTTTGACGGAATCCAAGTCTTTTGAGCTGATACCGCTCTGGGAAAAGTACTTAACTGTACAGGGTCTCGTGGATTTATGGAGATTGAACCAGATGCTACAAACACATACTGTTAATAGAGGGATGCTACTAATATAATAGGGAAGGTACAAAATAATTTTTTAGTGGATAATATTGTTGTAAAAGCTTTTAAGATGTGCAACGAAACACTTATAAAGGTTAAAGTTTAAGTTCACTGCATTTTAATATATGTTGAAGGATCTTTCATCTTATTATCCTTATTATTTTTCGTCTGTTACGATAATTTTTTGTAGAAATAGTGCTGTGTGATGAAACAGTGTGCCTATACATATAATACATTATTAAAATAGTAACTTATACCATGTGTGCCAATGAAAACATGCATGGTGACACTTTTCCATAATATGACAAATTGTCCAATGAAAATAGAGCGAATGGTAGGTAGATATAAGCACAGACGAATTTTCTGTTAAAATGCAAAAAACTTCTGATGACTTTTTTTTTTGAAAGAATAGAAAATAATTTTTTTAAAAGTAAAAACGAAACATGTTTTTTTTACGATCACTATCCAAAGTGGACTTTTAAATATTCAAATCTAACTAGAAAGTTGACGTTTTCCGCGATTTGTCATAATTTGACACTATTGGAGCTCTAGAGCACCAAAGTTTATTTTGATTTGCTATAAATAAAAGAAAGGTATTAATTATTAAATTATTTTAAAACAAAATGTAGACTAATCTGAATATTTTAGTTGGAACATATAATAATGTTGTTACACTGGCGGTGTTTTTAGATTTACAGAGGCCATAGGGGTGGTAGATTATTATTGAAATTAAGAGCTATTGGTTCGGGGGTTGTGCACTGGATTGGTTGGGACATTGTATAAAAAATAGGAAACAGAAGATTAAGGTAAGTAATTGTGTTTCAAATACTATAGAGAATAATATGGGGGTGGCACAGAGTGGTGTTCTGAGTCCGCTATTGTTTTTAATTTATATTAATGACATTACTGGTGTAGTCGAAAGATGCTCAATACATTTATTTGCAGATGATACCGATATATTTTACCCATGAAAACACTGAAACTTGTTTTAAAGAAATTAATAGTTATATAAGTAAAATAAATGATTATTGTAACGGAAACTCGTTGAAAATAAATTACGTAAAGACAAAATGGATGTTAATTGGGGTATTGGAAATTTAAGAAAATTAAATGTAGCATGGCATTGTATTTCTGTTGATGGAGTAAAGTTTCAGATAATTTAAAAAAATTAGTATCTAGGAGGTTATGGTTGATACAAACTTACAATTTAAGGAAAATACTAATAACGTCATGAAAAGCATATCATTTAAAATCAACTATTTGAGGTGCTGTTCTCCACATCTCAACAAATGGGCTAAAATAATAAGTTATAATACTCTTTAATTATTGTGCGACTATATTATATTTGCTCAACCGGAGTGATTGCAAAAGTTGCAGAATAGAGGTATGAGGATAATACTGAGTTGTTCGAGATTGGAACTAATCAATTCCATGTTAAATGTGCTTCAGTGGTTACCAGTTAAAAAAATTGCCGTTCTATTCCCTGCTACTTATATTTAAGATTAAATCAGGAATCTCGCCAATATATTTACAAAATATTTTAAGCTATAATCGGGATGTTCATGAACACAATACACGAAATAAGCAACAAAATGTACCAAAAAAATCAGTTTTTTTTTTTAAAGGTGTACAGGCTTTTTATAATTTGCCTGAAGATATGAAATATTTAAAAGAAAACTGCGCGAGTACTTGCTGACCATTTGATGTCTTTTTTTGTACTTTATTTATTATGTTTTGTAAAGTTGACATATTATTATTTTACATGTACGTTGACTGTATACTTTTTATTTTAAATGTATGTTGACTATACTTAGGTATTTTTTATTTTATTTTAAATTTGAAGATATGTATTGACATGTAAAAGTTTATTTTTACTAAATAAACGATTTTGATATATTCAAACCCATTTCCCTTAATATTTAATCGATAATTGTAATATTAAAAATCCATTACCCCATTTTTAACCTGTAAACCTGAGATGTCTCGTTGGTGCAGAGAGCAGTGCATTAGTTTCCTCATCTTAAGGTCGTGAGTTTAATCCTCACGGGGAAAAGTGTTTTAATAATTTAGAATTTATTTTGTTTGTAAAATTAAAACATAAAACAATTTTCGAAAGGGTATTCTAACCGTTCTGGAAAGTATTTTTGGGATGTACATACTAAACAAATATTTTTCACGCTATCATTAATTAAACTTTCAATCTATGAGTAAGTAGGCAACACAACATACACACGTTAGAGGTGCCTGTTAAGGGTGAGATTACAGAACGTCTGCAACTTTGCAGATCTGCAAATATGGCGGCAACTTTGAAAATCTGCAAATATCACTGACTTACACATGCAAGTATCAATAAGTTTTCGTATTCCAAATTTGGGCTTTGTGTTGTTGGGGGTAATAAACCACAATAAATATTGCGAATTTGCAGATATTTTTTGGAATACTTGCATTTGTAAGTCCGCCATATTTGCAGATTTGCAAAGTTGCAGATCTGCAAAGTTGCAGACGTTCTGTAATCTCACTCTAAATAAACATTGTAGTAAAACTTGAATTTGTTAATATATCGTGTGATTGTAGAAAAAATTCTTGTGTGTAATTCGAGCGGAAAGCTATTTGCCGAGTTCCGCAGCTTTTTATCTCAAGCGACAAAGTAATTTCCGCTCTTAATACACAAATAACTATATTTGCTTAGAAAGAGAAAAGAAGATTGGGACTTTGTTGACAAATGATGCCACATAATATATATCTATAATTTTCTCTTTTTTAAAGTGTATTTTTTCAGTCACCTCTACTTTTGGTATGCCTTTTTTATAGTCAAAATTGCGGGATTATGTACATATTTGCTTTGCCACTTCAAACAATCCTCATTGTTGAATATGAAAATACCTGTGCACAATTTTTTGCACCTTATTTTAAATAATTTAATAGTTTGATGATTTATTTACATCCAATACTTTTACGTATTTACAAAAATAAAACTCACATTGTGTTATGAGATGTTGGTAGAAGAAATATAATTAAAACTCGAGTTATTATTTACCAAGTGTACCTCGTTATTACTTATCTAACAATAATATAGATTTAAAAATAAAAATACAAACAAAAATATATACCTGTTTGTTGATCTGTGACTATTTCACTTGATTCGAAATTTCCATCCGAGATTTCTACCACTACGTTATTACCATCCGGTACCTGACTAGCCACAGATGTAGACACTTGATTGTCAGATGGAGCGCTCGACATTAGATCCCACTGTCTTAATTTCTCTCTGTCTAATATAAAACTACCGTCTTTTTTAATTTTATTATCCGGCGTTTTTACCGTCTTCAAACATTCAGTTTCTGGTTGGTGTTTATCTAATTTCATATAATTTTCATTGACGTATGTAACACCCCGAGTAATTCCCCTTGGAGACTTAAACTTTCTTTTTGAATCTCCCTCGCCTAAGGTATCTAAATCCTCCATAGATTTGGTGTGTCTCTGGCTTGCTGATCTTAGTCTTTCTCTCCATATTGAATCCTCCTCCCATAGATAGCTACCTTCTGATGCATTTTCTGGAGTTTTCGCAATATTATCTTTGGTTTCGGATATTAAACCAGGACCATCTTTTAATACGTTCTCTAACAGACCTTCTAAAGAATGCGTCCTTCTTACTGTTGTGTCAGTTGAAAGTGAATCTGCTAATATAAACTTATCGTTTTGTTTAAGCGATAATAGGTTTCTAGTGGGAAATCCAGAATTATTATCTTTTAAGATACGTTGAGAACTATTAGATTCGTAAATATTTTTATGATCTATATGACCCGGTTTGTCCGTGAGATTCAAGAAATCTGCAGACGCTGATCTAGCTTCTGCAGCAAGCTTGAATGGAGTGGTATCGTCACACATATCTCTTAAGTTGCCCTTTATAGGATTTCTAATGTGAGTAATGTCTCTTTTACATTTCAACGTGCTTCTTTGATTATTTAAAGTCAATAACGACGTTTGAGAATCTGTCATAGTTATCGACAAATCTGAGTAATAGTAAGGAGCTGATGATGCTGAAAAAGTGCTAGATATAGGTATCGATACAGACTCATTAGTAACGGATGCTGATCTACTTGAATTTTGTATCATATTATTTATATCTGTTGAAGTTTCAGATACATATATTTCTTGTAATTCTATGTCAGGAAAATCTTTTTCATCTTCAACGAATTCTTTGTTTGTCATGGTCGAGCTAGTGCTCTCCTCATATTGAGAGAGTACTAAAAAGTCATAAGCAGGAAAGTTTTCCTGATTGGAGCTCACTGCATTATTTTCTTGATATAAGCTGTTTGGACATTGACTCGCGATGTATGTGTCTATTTGAGCATCTTTTTCATTGACAGAGTTATCTTCGGCTTTTGTATCATCATCAGAATGGTTATTACTAGAAAAGGCACTGTTATAATTTAACTCTTTGTCAAAACATCTCCTCTTTGGACTGCTCACTATACTTTCCTTTTTTGAATAAGTGTTTAAAGAAGAATTACTTAGAGAATTGTCTTTATTATCAGAAGTTTCTTCTTTTAATTTCAAATTCGTGTAACTACATTCACTTACACTGTTAATATCATCTAATGGAGGTGGTGATGCAGGAATTGGAGGTGGAGAAACCAATTCGCTATCAGAGCTATCCTGGAGATCAGCGTTGGCTTGGCTCGTTCCTAAATAATACGAAGCTGGTCTGAAAGTGTCTGATAAACTAAATCTTGGTTGGCTAGGCGTGTCTAAGGAATCTAAATCTTTAGATGCTTCATCGTCAGCATCAGAACTATCAGATTTCGGTCCCGGTTTTGTTTCAGGCGTTATTAAAATACCGGAAAAATCATCCTCGTTTGTAGGTTCTGATGGACATCTAAGTTCCACGTAGAGAGGTTCTAATTTGTCATCATTAAAAACTTGCATGTTATGTTGCTCTCCATTTAAATTATTATTAAAACTAGATGATAAAAAAGAACCGACAGCATTTTGTGTCATTTCTACATAATGATTTTCGTCCATTTTAACATTATCTCCTAATGCTTCGATTATGCTGTCATAACCAATTCCCAGTCCTGATACTCTTTTACTCGGAGACATTGGCATATAATTTTCTTCTATGGCAATATTTTCTTCTTTATATTTAGTCTCTTTGTCAATATCCTTATTTGTGTTAGACAAAACGGATCTAGCACTGTTCTGAGTATCAAAATTAGCGATAGACGTAGAAATTTGTTCAGCAAGTTCCGATGAAATATTAGACAGTTGGTTTAGATCCTTTTTGCTAAATGTCTTAAGTGGCTTCTGAGAGCCATCTTGACAAGTAGAAACTAAAAGCTTTTCTATTACGTTTGAGTAGGGTGTGTCATGCAAGTTAAAGTGAAATGTTGGCTTTGCAGGGTCTGTGGTGGTACTAAGTACAGTGGTAGAAAGGGGTTGTGCGGGTGTAGGAGACTCACAGTTACTGGCAAATGTGTCCGAGGTCCGTCCTGCCTGTGACTGAACAATTTTCTTGCTGCTCTTCTTATTTTCTAAACCAACCATAAAAATGTATACATTTTTACATATTTCTATGAGAACATTAGTTATTAGAAGGAGTTATTAACCTAAGTTAATACTGAAAAGTGTTAGTTAAGAGATAAGAATGAGTTTGCAGGCAGGAAGGACCTGATAATGCACCAATAAACCAACACCCACAACAACCACTAAAGCTTAAATCTACGAAAAGGTTATACATTATTATATACGTTTAGAATAGAGAAAACCATATACAGGAAAAACATTTTAATGTGAAATAAGTATTAAAAACTTATATGCGATAATAGATCGGCTATAAATATTAGCAAGCTAGAGACAGCAGTTTACGTTTTTCTCCTAATTAGGTACTTAACTAAACTCATGTGTCTTTAATCGTTTTATTATGAATTAATTGCATCCTGCAAATGTACTATACTAGTATTTATTTTGACACTAATAATTACTATGTTACTTTACAAAAAAAATATAGAATAATTATTTAAGGAACTTATCAAATATGAAAGATCTTAAAGTGGTTAAAATAATAATTCCTCAAATAAGTTTATTCGGTATGTATATCGCAATTTTATCCCTACTAAAAACATTACACTATGTAACTTACCTTCATCATCAGATGAATAACTATTATACTGAGTAGAACTCTTAGAATGGAAATCATCCATGTAAGCTTCATTATTGTATTTGCTATGCTTGGATAATTTATATCCCATTTCATTATTGTTATAAATATCAGTCTTCCCACGATAGGCTACGTTTCCTTGTATTTTTCTATTCAAAGGTGATTGCAACATGCGTTGCTTCCACTCAAGTAACCTTCTCATGGATTCTTCTCTCTGAAAAATGCATAGCATTTGGAATCTTTGATACATATTTCGAAAACATCATAGATCTAACAAGTAATTAGATTGAAACAGCAATGTCGAAACAACCTGTCGACACCGTACCAAACTAATACCTCTGCATTACATGCAATGTCTCTTTAACTTGAATAAACAAAATGGCGTAGATCAGCAGCAAGACCAACCAAACGATGAATACATTGGATTTTCCTTAACATACGAATCACTCGGATGAATATCCCAAATGTTTTATGTTTGAACATTTAAAAGTGTGTGACAGATCAGCTGAAGACACTATCTGTCGATAAGTCACTATCGTCAAAAAGATGGTGCTGCATCAGAATCGGATTTTTTGTAATGTTTGAATGGAGACATGATACTTAAACAAGTTTCACCAAAAAGAATGGTAGCTGGTATTGTGAGATTATTATTCAACTCAGTCTACATCTACCAGGAGTGGTAACAACGTCTGTTGTTTAGACACGCCTACAAATGTCTATTGGAAAAGGATCCTAGAAACTGCTCACACCTGATAATTAAATAGAAAAATAGTTATAAATACCTTCCTTTCGCCGTCTCTGTGAACCATTCTGTCCGGTGGCGGAACCCTTTCCCCTTGTTGAGCTAATCGAGCGCTGGCCGATCTCGTAAATTGATCATAATCCTGACTTCTATACCTGCTGCCGTAACCTTGCTTCGAAAAATCTGGACTGACCAACTCCCTTTCCATATATCTGTTTGGATCTACTTTAATTTCACTTAAAGCGCTTTTGCTCCTCATCGGTTGCGGCTTCTGAATATGACTCATCTGCGATTTGTTGACGTTTAAAAAATGTGAATGAGCCGGTACGAATGGCGAAACGTTTTCGTATCCAATACAAAGTGGATTTTCGTTGGGAGTATATTTAGGAGGTCCATATTTCAAGTACTGCGCAGACTTTCTCATTTTTTCAGCGTATCTCTCTCGTGAATAAAAATCGTTATCATTGGCATTGATGTTAATATCCAAGCTGGACTTAGGCCGAGGTCGTTGGTGTATGTGTGCAGTGTCTTCTGGTTTATGATTTAATTCGTATTCTAGAAAATCTGCACTGTGAGGCCTGGCTATATTGATGGTTGGGGTTTTTCTCATTTGCGGAACTGGGTATTGCATCAACTCCGCTGGACCAATCATGTTCACAGGAGTGTACCTATGGGGTGGGTAGCTAGGTGCAGGATTATTTCTTTTAATAACATGACTATAAGCTACAGGACTAAGGGGCCTTTTGTACATACTTTCTTCAGCATAAATATCTTCGTAATCAGTTGGACGAGTGTCCAATTTGGATCTGCCGTAAGTCTCCGGGGTTCGCCTCTCAACATCATGAATTCTTTGAAATTCGTGCAACGATTCTCTGCTGTGTTTGGAATTGTAATTAGGGTTTTTACTATACACGGGGTTGGGTGATCTACTCATACTTCTAGCTTCGATGTATTGAACGTTTTGTCTATCTATTATGTCGGGACTGGGCGAAGAAAATCCATCGTTCAATCGTTTTGGTTTTGGCGGAGCATTAGCGTAGAGAGGTTGGTTGTAAGGGCATTGATCTTGCAAAAGACTGTTGGATGGGGAATGAGTATTAATAGGAGTCGATGGATTTAAGCTATTTTTGGGGTATTGTTCACTAGATTCATAACTATCGAGCATTTGCTGTTGGTGTGAGATGTTGTAACCGCTTGATAGCTTAGGAAATTCGCTAAAAAAATAAAATACTCTTTATATAAAATGAAATAACTACACTTTTTAGTAGAAAAATATGGAAATAACTTAAAATATTACAAATTTGAGCCTTGGTATAGTGATGCATAACATTTATGGATATATGTATTCTACACCACTGGATTATGTAGATTTCTAAGTTTTATAAAATTTGAATCGGATACTTCTTAACTTGCCAAATATATTTTATAGCAAATTACTTCAGTTTTCAGAAAATTAGCTATGATTTCATCTTTATTTACAAACCCATATAGCACTCCACGTCCTATGGACATCAGATTTTGGTCCAATAAATATACAAATGTCCGTGGACGAAAACTGGACATTCATAGGATATTCAAATACGAACTTTTATCCGATTGTATTGTTCGGATTAATATCGGACGTCTGAAATCGGACCAAGGGCGGCTCCATGGGAGAGGACAGGGGGCCATGGCTCCTCCCAGGGGTTAAAATTCTTAAAAACCATGAGTCTTTTATTAAAAAAAATATGCTAAAAATGGAATTATTATTGGCAATGGTTGCCCCCCTCGAAATTTCGGCCTGGAGCCGTCCTCTGGTCGGACCTTCCTTATCAAAGACATTCTAAAGATATTAGTCTTTGGATATAATGTGACTCTTAAACCGGATGTTTTGATATGTGTTCAAAGCGGAACCTTTTTCCGAAATATCCATTTCAGGCTTACGTTTGATGTTATAAATACGTACAAACTAAAACCATAAATGCAATATGCTTAGAATAGACTAATAGCCCTTGCTTGTAGTCCCTGAATTGAGAGCGAGGCGGCGCCACATAATCGCAGTCGACTAAGTTGTTACGGTGATACGGATTAGTGACTGAACAGATCTAACGAAAACAGATAGTATATTCAGAATTCAATAATAAGAGAAAAATAATTCGGAATAAGGAAAATATAAATGTTCAGTGGAGATACAAACTTTACAGTCTAATGGTTTGAAATATTTTGTTACTACATTAGTTTAGTATATTAAAATAAATACAGGGTGACCTGGCTCAACGGTCATACTTCATTTCCCGTCCCCAATATCACACTACCCAATACAATTTAAATAGAGAAAGTACCAAGTATGACACATAAGACTATTCGGGTCGGTGGTGTAGCAGTCTCACGCGCTTATATTCATTTATAGGCAAGTTTATGGTCAGAGACAGACGGGCTTCGAATCCCATTTCAGACCATGTGGATTTTTCACTAAATTGCATGGTTCGGTATAGGATTTGATGTGTGCCGTATTAATAGAAGTTTAATATGACATGCAAATTATAAAATCGCCATGCATTACCGTCTCGATGATGGTGGGTGAGGTTTTCCGGGTTTTCCTCACCTGTAAATCAAATGGCACCATCAATCATCTTTAAGTCGCCCCTTAGCGCCACAAGCTCAGCTTTTGGGGTTAAAATTCACTCGTAAGGGGGTGAATTAGGGAGAGTATTATTATATTATTATATATTATTAAGTTACTTTTGTTTCTTAGCACCCTTCAGCTGCATAATAAACTGTTACGTATTGTAAAGTGTGACATTTTATTTCAAAGCTAATTTTATTAGTTATTTAAAGCGAAATTTTAAGGGTTGTAGGTACTTCAATCTAGCTGCAAAGGTTCTTTTTTTAAATTTCGAATTTTTGTACGTATTTTTTCGGTCAAAATATGTCTACTGGATGTCCTGAAAGTGTACAGTTGTTAACATAGTAATAAAAACGCCAGTGTAGAACATTCCCGAAAAAATATTCATATCTACGTCCACGAATAAAAAATGAGAATCCTATGAACATTCGAAATATCCTTTTATAATATCCCATAGACGTCTGTAGGACGATTGTGTGCTATGTGGGAAACGTTTTCGGTTCTAATTTACATTCTATTATAAACTTTTTAAGTCAATTCAATTAAATTAAGCAGGGCCGTGGCCAAAAGAAGGCATGTAAGGACAATGTCGTCGCAAATAGCCAGTAGGTATTGCACATCACAGCATAAGTATTATTGTGTAAAATAGAAATAATCAAATTCGTAAGTACAATAATTGTTTTCCCGATATAAAAATTCCTTGTAAGGAACAATCCAATGTCGTGAAAAGATACTTGAGCTAGCGGTAAACCATGCACTAAGTTCAAAACGTACCCGTATTTCGGATATCATGATTTGTATGATTTCGGCGATTTCGCCAAAAATCTTCTATACATTTTTACGATTTCGGCTAAAATTGTTTTCTCCGGAGAATATACGTTTTATTGACGAATAGTCAAATGTTTTTTTTTGCTCTTTACTTGTTTTTTGATCCACTACTTACTGCATTTTTATTTCGAAGCAAAAAATTGATTTTGAGGCGATTTTAGTGATGATTTCGGGATTTCCGTGATGAATTCAAGAGGATTTGTAGCGATATTGGTAATTTCGTGTGAAAATGTACCAGTATTTCGGAGTGATTCATCGGAAGATAAAAGTGAAAAAAATTTAGAAATTCGTTTCCGACAAAAACGGAATGCTGAAGACAGCCATATGCGAATCTGCCTTTTCGACGTTAACTGCGATAAATAAGTCGCAAAAATGTCATTGGATCACGAGAGAATGACAAGTCTGGTGTTCTTGAAAGAAAGAGAATAGAGGAACAAAATAACAACGAAGTGCTACGAAAATTCGTATGGCAAATCGAAGGCGTCAATTAATACTAGATATGTTTGTTTTTTCGAACATTTTTGTTAAGTTCATTTATTTTACGAATCACTTTTGACCCTCTCTTAACCTAAGTCTCCGACTTCCCAATACCCTCGACCCAACTACTTACTGTTGTGCCCTATTTATAATTTCAGATGTCCTACTTAAAAATCGGTTCTGGCTACGACCCTGAATAGTATTTAAGCTTTTATTCATTAGGTATTATATAAAATATGCAGAGTTGGGTAGAATCGGCGGAACACCACGTTTCTAGGTTTGTTTGAATTTTGTGCATTTTTCAGAGATAGCAGCACCTTTTTTTTGAAAGTAGCAATAAAAAAGAGTATAGGGTGTCTAGTAATTAACAAGAGTTGTAAGTAACCCATTACGCACGGAGCCGCGCAGCGGCGAGTGCGTAAAGTTCACAAGTGCGTAATGGGCTTACAAGTCGTGTAACGTACTATACTTTTTCTACGCCTACTTATTTTCTTCTATTGAATAAAGGACATATGCTTGTGTCGCCAATCCATAAATTTTCATAGGTAATTTTGTACCTTTTTTGGATTTTAGCGGTAACAAATTATGTGTTGCATCTTGAGCTTTTTCTAAAATCTCCGGTGGAGTGCTCATAATTTCATAACAGATATATTCGTAAGTAAAGTTGAGAAAATGTTCGAATACAATATTTTGCTACAAAAATTGACAATATAAATCATAAGGCGTTTATTTCTATAGCATTCTAAGAAAACGCGACTTTTTTTGAAAAATTGTATGTGTATGTGTTGCCGACATTTAGGGGCATCACTTTTTTAATCCAAAATGTATCTCGCTAATTCTAAAAGTTTATGTTTTTCAATTGACTAAATGTATGTAAATAGACCAAATAAAGTCAAACGTAGATAAAAATTTAATTGCAATTTGATTAAACTAAGAAATTTAAGTTTTCTTATCAAAACGCACCTGTATATGTTATGAGATCTCATTACGTGCATGTTATTGTTAAATGTAATTTACAAGGAATGTTGACAGTGCGATTTTTAACATGGGCGTAGAAAAATATACTAATCAACTTGTAGGAGAGGTAAGGGATATCAAAATTTGCATAATAAGCGAAATATAGGATATTTTACACAAAAATAATAACGTCTAATACCTATTTTCATAATTATTTTGATTAAAGCAACTAAAAATATAATTTTTTTCATATCTCGCTTCGTTTTCGAGGAAAAAAAATAAAATCCAAACTTTGAAGGACTCAATATAACTCAAAACGAAAATGAGGCAAGATTCGAAAAATAATCAAGGGATAAAAAAGTTTTCAAATCTACAGGGCGTTTTTTTTTTCAGCAAAAAAGTAAGAGCCTATGGAAAGTTTAGTTACACGCTAATAGGTTCAAAAAATACCTCATTAAGATATCAACAAACTGTGAAAATTTCATTGACATCATTTAAAACGTTTGTCAGTATATTTTTCTGTAAAATTTCGTCATGTTACATAAAAATATTTTTTAATATTCATGATTATATTTTTTTTCTCGAAAATATTTGGATGTATTTAAAACACAAACTTTAGTGTCTGTACGCATAAAAATGTGCGCCAAATAAAGTGTAAAATTATTTTTTAGTACTCATTGTAAAATGGTAGGTATTGTAAGAATTTTTTCTCGAAAATATTGTTATTTAACAAAACAAACCATGAAATTTGGCTTTCGTACCTACGCAAAAAATGTGTTCTTTTAATTGGTACTCAAAAAAAAAAACGGTGCTGTCATTCAAAAAACTCGTACCTACATCAAAATACATAGGGTGTCCCGAAATTAGACGGTCATATTTTAACATCCTAAAATAGGAGTAAAAGTTCATATAAATATAGGTCCGAAAACGTTTCTTTTTCGAGATACAGGATGTTAAAAGTGAAGTCCTGATGATACTCTTTTGTAAATATTTTCTAAAAGTTTAAAGATAACTAAGTGAAGTTTTTTTCGTTGACAGTTTTTAACATTTTTGACTATAAAATTTGGAAAACTAATGTTTTCTTCATAATAAAGCTACTTTTGTTGCATCTCGCTAGGACGCACCATTTTCAATAAAAAAGCATTTGAAAATTTCATGATAAGTTGATTCGAAAGTGAAAACAATAATTAGTAGGCCTGTGAAATCAGAAATCTTATTTTTTTACTTTGGAAAACCGGTGACTAAAGAAATTTTAGAAAATATTTACAAAAATGTGCCATCAGGACTTCACTTGTAACACTCTGTATCTCGAAAACGAAACGTTTTTGGGACCTATGTTTATATGAACTTTTATTCCTATTTTAGGATGTAGATTACGTTAGTTTTGGGACACCCTGTATAGGTATCTGAAAAAAAAATTGCCGCATAAACTCAGAAATGTGGTATTCCACGTAATTTAATTATTATTGGCTTTAATATATTTTAAAAGCCGATTAAATTGAAACAATAATATATTTATTCTTTATTTTAAATTCCTTACGCATTTTTCTGCATTAGGGTGGCCAAATTCAAGACCTGCACCCAGTGCATCATTTGTTCCTGTGAATCTGTAGCTAAAATATATGTTCGCATATTAGCGTGTTCGCATTTAAAAGCGTACTTTTTGCTAACTTTTTCTTCTGGTTTACAAATTGACACTTTATATGAAGGCAATAAAATTGACCCTAGTAGCTTTTCTTCTTCAGGACCTGCAAAACACGTAATTAGCTACAAGAAGGAAACCAAAAACTTGTATAAAAATTAGTTACCTTTATAATAAAATAGACAATATTCCACGAGTACAAACCATCTCTTCTTCCATAACATTAATCCTTCAGATCCTTGTTTATGTAACCATCCTTGTTTTGTTACAGGAGCTTCTGGTGGACGTTTGGCCGAAGGAGATTTTAGTTGAGGAGAAGACCCAACAGCTTTTTTCCTATCGGGATTAGATTTTGCTTGATTTTGCGGAGTAGAAGGAGAGTTAACTTTTTGATAATCGGATTTTTGAGCTGGTTGAGGTTGATAAGGGATATTGATTGGTTGTTGAATTATACAAATTTTTGGCGTATTCTGAACTATTATATTGTTTGAAAGACTAGATTGAGGGGGAACATGTGTAGGTCTATGTAGTTGAAGTTGAGCGCTTTTATCGTATTGGTTATAATTCTGAACGTGAAAAGTTTGAGGAGCTACGTTAGTGTTCTTAAAATTTTCAGGAGCTTGATAAACCTTGTATTGGTTTTCATACTGAAGATTTTGAAAATTTGGATTTATCTGTTGAACAACGTAACTGGGTTGTTTTAGACCGTACTGAACATTTCTCTGTAAGTGATCTGATGAGTTCTGGTGATGCGGGTGTTTTACAAATGTTTCTACTTTGGATGCTTCGTTATTTTGAGGCAGGTTATTGTGTTGATTTTGGAAGATCCCTTTCTTATTTTCCATTCTACTGGGATCAACCCTGAAAAAAAAAGATGCTTGTGGTTAGGTTATCAAAAATTGATTGCGCAATAAATATTGTGTATCGATAAATGTTAGAACACCGTCCAGCATTACCCTTGCGACCACTTGTTAGTGTTCCTCTATCCATCTGCCCACAAGGGTAGAGGTAGGCGACACGAGACGTGCTAGACATAACAGCTCACATAACCAAGCGATGCTCATTCAATACTCTATTCGAGATCTTGATAATAAATAGAAGGGAGATAATCATAAAACAATGCCTACTGACCACAAACCTGGTGTATAGATAAAAAAATACAGCTATTGTATATGTAAGAAAACACGAAAACAAGTAAAAATGACCCTCCGTTCAGATAGCAGAACTAAAAGTGCCTCTCTTATTTTTCAGGCCACATCGCCTTAGAAACTTACTACATAATCCTAACATAAAAAATATGACTCTTGTGGCTAATAAACAAGACAGCTGCCTGGCCCGTTCCAGATGTTTCGGCTAAATATTAACGATTCAACGCCATCGTATTTGTAATTCATAGAAAAAATGAAGTATTGACTAAGGAAAGAGGCAAGACATCATTAAGGAAGTTTATTTTGAAAAAGGATTGACACCTGAATCATCTTAATGCACGCCATCTTTAAAATAAAACAATTACTTAAAATTGCGACGGTTTTTTTTTAACGTTTATTCGCCTTTTTAGTAATAGTTCATCTACGAGTCAACATAAAATATAAGGCACAAGCGGGGCTAGTGCAGGACAGCAGGTTTCCCGTTTGGACCTAAGACATCTTCGCCTATAATATGTTGTAATGTTTCCCCTCTTTAAACGTTGCTAAATATAGCAGCCCTCATTTCTTACCTTAAGGGTTTGTCGTTGTCATAAATCAGAAATTGACGTTGTTCTTGTTTAAAAAGGAAGTTTTTTTCTCTAGAGTCTCAAACTACTTACCTACTACCTTACACTAATTAAAGAATACAACTGTAAAGAAAAATTGCTAAAATTGATCAATACTTCTACACTTAAAGTTATACGCTAATAAATGAGTATTCTCTTTCCTCATACGAGTGTTATTAAATCAGTATTTCACTAATTTTCTGGAAGCTATTCGTAAAAGTCCTTAATTTTACTTTTTAGGAAAAATTTAATACGAAAAATTCTACGAATAATTTAACATTATCAATAAGGATGCCTTCATTTCTCAGAAATGTAAAACGAGGAATAATATCATCAAATTGTAACTTGATTTTGTTTAAATGTCATCGATTCAAAACAATAAGCAGTAGCAGCCTAAGTTTTGTTTATATATTTATATAGTATAAAAAGTTCTTGATAAAAAATGTATTTCTATATTAATCGTTGCTTGATTATCTGTATCAGTTTCGTGGTTTTTAAAAAGATCTAGCATCTCAAAATTATGCGCTAGTGACTCTATTGTTTATTTTAACGTATTGTAACGTTTATTCATTTAAATAGTTTAAATTTAATTTATTTGTACTAAATGCAACACTAATTTATATATATTTTACTGAAACACTAATTTATATTAACAATATCTATCCGAACAGAAAGATCTCTTAACTAATCCTAACTACAAGCAAAACCAAACTATTTATATTCAAATCAACTAAGAACATACATCGGCGGATACACCATTTGAATGATTTACTTCGACTAGCTGTGACTAAGCATAAGGGTATCAGAGGGGGTTTCGGAGGTTTACTCACTACCGAATTGTTTTTATAGCGGGAAAATAGAGGCAGCAAAAGGTCCAAATAAGGCAGAAAGGGACTTTAAGGGATTAGAGTAAAACCGGACTGGTCGAAAATGGCTCGCATGCATTTTACATAGTAATTTAGAAATCGAGTTTTTCTCTTTTATTATTACTGAATCGTTGTCGGCTGACGTGTTTACCTACTTTAAGATTTTTTTAATATACGAGTATATTAGGTAAAAATAGTGTATTAATATTTGAGTTAGACTGAATAATGCTACCAATAAATCATCCAATTCTAATGAGAAAATAATTATTTAAAAAATATAATATAATATAGACGGACTCGCTGAAGTATGTTTATTTCAACCAAATACTTGCAAATACTGTACTGCAAAATGTTATGGCATATATCTGTGAAGTAAAAAACACATGGTATGGAATTTTAACCATTGCCTTATTTATTTTAAAATAAAGCTGCTGTTGCAACAAGTTTTATTAATAGACATCGATATTAACGTGCCAAGGCATTGAAAATATAAATTTTTAATATTATTTTATTTTCTATACAGTGTTACGATTTATGTCAAGATAGATTTATTTTTAATTATCAAAAATAAACTATGTTATTAGTTTCATTGGCACAGTGTACAATTTTTATTGAAAATTTTAATTTCTGGAATATTTGCCAGCTGTCAAAATGGCCGCCATATTGAATATTGGATAATTTTATTTTAAAATATGCCTCTCATTAGTTTAGGGGAGAACAAAATGGGAATGTACCACCTTTAAAAAGTCTTTGTAAGGATCACAGTCACGAAATAACCGTGTCACAGTTTCCCACTGAGACCGACCCAAACATCACCAGTGGCGTGTCTATGCGTTTTTATTATTGGTAAATATAATAATTTTTTTTTGACAAAAATTTTTACGTTATGCGTTAAGTTACGCGTTACGTTGGCGTTGCGTTACGCGTGCAAAAACATATTTTTACAAACATTTTTTTTACAAAAATGTTTTTTTTTAATTTTGTTGTAGAGCTTTTAAAAAGAAATTCAACTATGCAAACCACTTCTTTCTAGTTTAAACGATAGTCAAATTATTTAATAAAAACGTTTTTATCTTAAAATTCAATGTAAAAATCCTATTATCTTGCCTTACAGACAACCTAGCATGAATTAGTAAAAACCAGTTTGTAGAGCTTTTAAAGAGAAATTCAACTATGCAAACCACTTCTTCCTAATTTAAACGATAGTCAAGTTATTTAACAAAAACACTTATTTCTGTTAAAATTCAAATTCCCCCAAATTTGATCTGAAAATCCTATTTTCTGGCCTTACGAACAACTCAGTGGTGGCTTTTTAAAAACCATTTTGTAGAGCTTTTAAAGAGGAATTTAATGATGCAAACCACTTCTTCCTAGTTAAAACGATAGTCAAGTTATATAACAAAAACGTTTTTCTCTTAGAATTCAATCTGAAAATTCTACTATCTTGGCCTACAGACAACCCAGCATGAATTAGTAAAAACCAGTTTGTAGAGCTTTTAAAAAGAAATTCAACTATGCAAACCACTTCTTCCTAGTTTAAACGTTAGTCAAGTTATTTAACTTTTTTTTTTTATTTAAAGGCTTGGAAAAGTACTTTCTTATATTAATCTGTGATGTCATATCTTACTTTAAAATTTTCCGGAAACAATAGAAAATTGCAATTTATTCTAAATTTTTAGATAGAAATTCATATTATTTAATAAAAAAAATAATTTCGTATTTAATATATGTATAAATTCTGCTAATTTTGAAAACGATTAATATTTTTATTTTAAATTTTTGGACGACGAAACCAAACTAAAAACACTCTGAAATATGAAAAATCAGCATTTACTGTGTAACGACTTGTTCTAAGCTTTCAAACAAAAAAGTTCATTCCGATGTCTGAATAATTAATAACGAAGATAAGAGTGAGTGGAGTTTTCAAAGGGTTTGCCATTATTAAAAATGCATATATACGCCACTGGTGCAGTTTGGAACGGTTTCAATGAAAAACTCTGAAGCTTAAAAAGACTTTTTAAAGGTGATACAAGTTAATAGTAACATGTACAGAAATAATATCCAATATGGCGACTATTTTGACAGAACATTTTTAATATATGATTCTTATTCAATAAGAAAGTATTTTCCAAGTTTTTAATCAAAATTTTCTTTAAAAAAAGTTCAGAAGCAAAGATATATTCAACTTCTGTTTATATTATTATTAGTTTTGAAACAAGCAAAAACTTTTACGAAGAACATTTTTTCGAAAAAGTGAAACTAAAAAGTTTTTCCTCCTCTTTTTCAATTCATTCAAGGACACTCTGTATATCTCAATTAATAACGAAGATAAGAGCAAGTGTAATTTTTAAGCGATTTACCAATAATATAGAAACGGTATAGATACGCCACTGGTGTAATTTGGGTCGGTCTCAAGGAACACTGAAGTTTAAAGACTTTTTAAAGGTGATACATTCCCATTTCTTTTTCCTTACACAAATTAATTATATTCAGAAATATTATCCAATATGGCGGCCATTTTGACAGCTGACAGAAAATTTTCAATTCACAAATATCCAAAAATGTCCTAGAAATTCAAATTTTTAATACAAAAAGGTGATGTCCATATTTTTTTGTTTTAAGTATAGTTACTAGGGATTATTGACTAACCTACAATTTTAATCTAAAAATTTTAATTGAAAAATAAATTGGACTTTACTGTCATTTCCGGAAAAACCGGAAGCATACCTTGAAGTCACAGAATAATTGAAGAAAAAAATTCAAACAAAACAAAAATATTCGGATACCTTAATAACTAAAATAAGGGGGTGGAAGTTTTAAGTGGACCCTGTACACTTTTAGGAACATGTAATGCAAAATAGACCTAAAAATTAAAAAATCGCGGGTTAATCAAAAAATGCTTTTAAACACAGTCTAGTCATGGGTCTACATTATCAAAAAACTATCTACTTGCTTCTATTTTCTTCAATATCAACTTCTTATTCCTCTTTTGATGATATTCTCTTTCATCAGTTTATTCCTGAATATCCTGATACCGAGTATGAAGAAATGTATTATAAAGGCCAACATTGTTGCATGAGAAAAATTAGGTCACATTTGAGCAACAAATTCCCTTAGTAAATAAAACATGAGATTTTAACAGTTAATTAAAATATAAATAACACCTGTGTAATAATTTTATTATTTAAAAACAATTTACACTTATAAGCATGAATGATTTAATTTTATGTGATATAAGGAAT